ACGTGTACGAGAGCCAGACAAATCTTAAAGCGACCACCAAACGTCGTGCTATCACACAAACAAAGTGTTGCACTAACCTCCCACGTCCACTCCCGTTTGATTTAAAACCAACGATCAAAAGGAGCAACATTAACTCTGACGACCCAAGGGAGTCCCCACCGGCCTCCCTCCTAGTGTGCTCCTGAGAAGGCTGCTTAATCAGGTAAGCTTTATTAAACACCACGTAAAGGATGAGAAGAGCAACACAAAAAAGAGGTAAGTTGACGCCCACGAAGATTCAGAAGTAGTCTGCTGATCCCTCCAGCGCAGCATTCAGTTAGAATCCCTGCCTCCCTTCTACAAGGTAAAGTTGGAACAAATAACATGCGTCACATTCGCTATCGAACTGCCGAGCTATTATAAGTTACATTACCGAAGTCATCCCCTATTGTGGGCTACATAACACCGATACAAGAACAGGGCTGTACGGAAAGTAAATACCGAGACCCAAATGCGAGTCTCGCACTTGATCCAATATCCCTACGTCCAATCAACTATTAGTGGTCAGTCAACTACCACAACACGACCAATAAAGGGGACAGATAGCCAACTCAACTCGGCAAAATTCGACGACATGATGCATTCGTCATGTCATGTCATGGTTAAGTTAGAGATGAATGTTGAAAGGTAATTACAATACGTTGCTTATGTAACCACCTGATGTTTAGCGGTTGCTTTGGCATTCATCCGGCCCTTGTACGCATGGGATGGCCTTCGGGTCAAGCTCAGACTTAATCCATTTGTTCTCTCTGGAATACATTTATTTAGCCCCACTTAATGCCTTCTACCCGGTGGGAAGTCTCGGGATGCTACAATAATGTTCATTACCAAAGAGAACTTACAATTGAAAAGCAGTGATAAAGGAATTTTTGAATTGGGGTTACAATAAATCGTGCATACACACTCACATTCCTATTCTGACTTCGGTTTGGTAACACTCAGGCGGTAAATGATACCATCGCGACCCGGGTCCATGTTCCAGAGCGAGCAGCAAATAACCCAAACGATCGTTACGAAAACCACAACGAACCAAAAAGTCAACTGGAACCACGCTGCGTACTCAGGACTCACCACGGGTCCTACGTTGATACCTTCTAGTGATGGATTCGCCTACAATTGGACGATTAGCAGTGATTCAGTCTCCATTTTAGCGTGGGTTATACCAACTGAAAGAGGACAAGTACACAAGCAAACCAAGATGGCAAGACGTTTCCAATAAAAACTATATTTTAAATAAATCAAGATTCAAATAAAACAAGAGGTTCCTTCAGACTGCTTTGTTTGGGAGATCACATACCATCCTCTCCCAAACAGGATACATCTTCTGTGAGACTAAAACTGACGGTGATTGAAGCCCCTAAGGCATCAAAATCGGCTAAGGTAATCGGTAAAACGGCTTCCCACATTTCACCCCCACGACAATGCTCCACAACATCAGGCAACTGAACTTCCGTTTTACCCAGCAGTTCTACAAAATAAAGACATTTGTTGGCCAAAACCGCCGGCGCAAGTAGAATGCGATATAACTGGATAAAGCAGAACCTGCTGCAGATGAGGTGTTTTTGTTGTAAACATATAAAGTGACGACATCTCGCGTGAGGTCCTTCACTGTAAAACGCAGTGGACAATTCCATTTTGGTGAGCGCGTACTTAGGATGACGCTTGTGCGTTTGGAACGAAGACATACACTCGCCTCACAATAGGGCCATGGGAGTTCTAAAAGGTCGTAAAAAGCGCCCAGTAGCTTCACTCCCGAACCGCATCAAAGAATGTTGACTATGAATAAAGGAGGCGGTTAACAAACAATAAGTTACCGTCTTCATTAGGGCCAACCAATGGCAAACCAGAAGCCGAAATGACAGTCAAATTCATAACGGCAGCGAAGAGAGAGGCCTTGCCTAAAGCAACATAGATTAGCTTAAGTGCCTTGACATACCAATTTCAGAGCGGAATGGGTTTCTGAAAAGGCTCAGATAGCGCTTATACTCCATCGCCGCCTTGCGTATTTCTTTTAGCCACATTATCCTGCAGTTCCAAACAGGGTACATATGGATGACGAGGAACAAATACTGATCCAAACTATTTCGGTGGTCTCGCTCACTTTAGTGCTTCGGTGGATGTACGAACCAAAAGCTGTACATTCGGATCGCCATCATCGGTGATGATAAAAGAAGTAGCCTCAGCACTCTCGACTGAATCAGCAGAAGCACCACTGAGATTGTTGAGGCTAAGAGAGAACTGACGCAGATTTGCCAGAGATAAGCGTTTAGATCGTATCTCCTTGGCAGCCTTACCGGACCCACTACCACTGCCTCCACTGACAACACTTGAGAGGTCAGCAAGACTCGAACGCGAAATAGTATTGTGGAAAAAACCCCGACGACGTTGTTTCGGAGATATAGAAGAAGCAGTAGATACATTGATCTACATTACAAATATGCTGCTGAAGCATTCACGCCAACGTACGACTTTGGAGTAAAGGACTAAACAAACTTGAGCCAGAGATATCGGATGCCTATAGGCCTTGAAGTTTGCTTTGGCCAGACTTGCGTCCGGTTTCAGAGGGAGGGTGAAATTTGCCGTTGGTAGAGCACTTGCCGAGATGTTGATGGGTTGAGTAAGAAGGAGCATGTCAGTGAAGAGGAAGGCGGTAAGTTCCTTTCCTGATTTCACCTTGAAGAATGTGCCCGAGAGCAAGAGCAAGCGACGCCGACACTCACCTCCAACCTCAATCTCCATCTCACCCAACCGCTTGTCGTCCTCACCGCAAATGCGAAGGAACGCGTTGTTGCCTTCAAAAATTACATGATCCCGCAGCCACTGCAATTGAGTGAAGGACTCACGATTTCGAATTGCTTCATTACAAGTTGCCAACACCGTTGATGCCAACTCAAATGACTGTTGCAAGTTGATGTAATCAAGGTGGTCAGGCGGAGTGTATTTTAACAGCTGTAAAAAAGAAATCCCACAGCTTACTTAAAATTTCAAGCCCATCTTTGAAGTAAAACAAGACCTACCTTCTCTATGAGGAGTTTGTATTTAGTGATGCGCTGCATTGGCTTGAGAAAATAGCTAGAAAGAGGCATCGATTGAACTCGCATAAAGCGCTCACAGCTATGTAAGAATGCCTCCACATCTGGTCTCTCATCACAAAGTTTCCGCAGGTTTTCCAGGGCTAGATCTTGATTGGTGCAGAACTCACGATACACCATGCATTTGGGCAGCTAACAAGGCAGCAAAACGCCAAAAGTAAATACGGCACTTTGATGACGAAAGTTTACAGATGCAACTCACATGCCGAATAAGAATGTCACCAATGACATCATTGTGACCCTTCTTCAGATGCGTTTTACGTTCCTGAAAATCTCTAAAAAAGTAATCATGGAGATTAAAGGATGACGCACTTGTTGAAAGCTTCCGAGATATCACAGAGAGTCGACCAGTTGACAAAAATTTGTGCAAGCCTCCTTCCACTCACATTCAATTTCTTCAAGCCCACATAGACTTTCTATTCAATGGAAGTACTTATTCTTCAAGCTTAACAAACGAGCAGTGCGGTATTCAGAAAGAAAATAACCGACCTCCTTGACCTCTACCAGGTCTCTAAGATACTGACGTTCAGTTTCGATGAATTCAAGTATGATGTTCTGCCGTGTAGAACGGTTGTCCTTAGCGATTACCGTAGTCTTTCTGCCTACTGTCGCATTGTCTTGACGAGTGGCTAGAAGAAGCATAATGGGCAGGTGGAAAGATTTGGAAAAGGGGGAGACGAAACTGACACAATCTTTGACACTACTTGTATGCGCTCAGATTGAGCTTGTCACACCAAAGTCACATAATTTTGCGCTGTGCGTACTTTCATAGGAATTCGGAACATAATCTAGGCATAGCAACCAGCTAGAGTTATTCACTGAATCTTCACCTGCTGGAATGCACTCATATCGTAAGTTGGTAACAAAAGGCGTACAAAAGGTAGTAAAGTTGTTAAAGGAGGAAAATGTTCGGGTAAAATAGTAAATTACGTGGGGAGCGTGCGGATGGAAAGCGGTTACTGGTACATTACCAAGCGTGCAAGGCCAATAAACGGGCAATCACTAAGCGTGTTTAGAGGGCAGATTCCAATTAACAAAGAAACACACACGAGCCGTAGCAAAGATAAATGTTGCCTTACACACAAGATGCTACAAGGCTTCCTCAAAGAAAAACAGCGATTAATTATCATAATTTCCAGGGATAATTAAACATTTTAACAGGAGTTGATCAGACTAACTTCTGAATACATTTGCTTGTTTTACACTCTCTTTATGAAGAGAAAAGAGCATAAGTCGATGAATTCACGCATTCGTCCGAGTTTATCATTTAAACACACTCGGCTAATGAGGATAAGCAACCTAGAAGCCCGATCTTAAGTCATATTTAAAAAAGGAAGACAAAAGGATGATTATTTGCCCATATGGTTTCTTTTAATCGATCAAAACTGCCAAAGACAGAGGAATAAAGGAGAGTTCTGCAAACGATTGAACAAGTACAACATTGTAAGTAAGCAAGCAGACGTGCAACAGGCAAAACGCACCGTTTATGTTAGCGATAGTTGATGTTGGTGGTGTTGGTTTCGCCGATGCCAGAAGAAAAGGCAGAGAAAAAAGAAAAACACGCTATTGAAGCCGAAGACAAATTCGCACATAAAGACGCACAATAAGCAGGTATTAAGATGTTATGAAACAAAGCCAAAAAATACTTACCTTCCAGGGAATACGGTAAGTTTTATAAAAAGGTTATGAATAGGAAGGAATAAGCGAGATACAGGTAGATGCTGGATGATAAGTTGCTCAGTACGACAAACTCACAAGATTTTGGGATGACAGCAACAGTGGAGGATGATGTAGTAGGAGCAGATGTAGCAGCAGAGGCATCGGGTTGAATGGGTTTGACGTAGTTTACGGGAAAGAGGCCTTCAACACCAGTGGACTGAAGGCGTCCCCGCCACCAACCCTCCTCCTCGTGCGACAGTACCTCGATCAATGCACCCTCAGGAAAGGTCATTTCATCAGGTTGACAAGCCTTGTATGCAAACATGGACTGTACCATCGAAGCAGAAGCAAGGTCTGTGGATGTTGTTGTGACTGCTGCTGATGTTGTCATCGCAGTCGACGTAGCGATAGCGGGTGTACATGAACTTGAGCTTCGTTGTTCGATTTCAACAGCGGAAGAAGGAGCAGTGACGGCTGTATCTGTGGATGGTTCCTGAATTACTGGCATCGGTTCCAATGCAGGTTCAAGTGATACCATAGATGCCTGGGTTTCTACCACCAACAAATTAAGAGTTATCAGAAGTGTGAGTAAGGCTAGCTGGTCAAGACCCAACTAAAGCATATCCAATTTTATCTCAGTTCATTTTCAATGCTTTTCATTTACAATGTAAAG